AACAACTAGCTAATGTTCCTGCATCATTGATAGGGTGGAGCAAGGGCAAAGATGGTTACCAAGATGTCAAAAGAAGAAGATTTGAAAGACCTGGGAATGTTTAGCTTGTAGAAGGGACTGTTGAGAGGGGACAGGAGAGCTGTCTTCAAATACCTGAAAGGGCTTCATGTTGCAGTAGGCTTGCACTTGCTCCAGATGGCAACACTAGAAAAAATACTGTAGGATTGAAACTTCAAGGTTGCAAATACAGATTAGATGCAAAGGAGAACTTCTGGACTGTGCATCATGGTTTCTTCTACTTCATTGGAGATTTTCAGAGGCTGGATAATCACCTATGGAGGTGGTATAGTGAATCCTGCAGTGTGCAAGGAATTAGATTTGATGACCTCTAAGGTCCCTTTTAGCTCTATGATATCTGCTATGATATATGATATATGCGGTGGCTTAGTGGGTAAGATATAGCTTGTCAATTGAAAGGTCGGCAGTTCAGCGGTTTGAATCCCTAGTGTCGCGTAACGGGGTGAGCTCCCATTACTTGTCCCAGCTTCTGTCAACCTAGCAATTCGAAAGCAGGTAAAAAATGCAAGTCGAAAAATAGGGACCACCTTTGGTGGGAAGGTAACAGCGTTCCGTGCGCCTTTGGCATTTAGTCATGCCAGCCACATGACCACGGAGACGTCTTTGGACAGTGCTGGCTCTTCGGCTTTGAAACGGAGATGAGCACTGCCCCCTACAGTCGGGAACGACTAGCACATATGTGCGAGGGGAACCTTTACCTTTACCTTTAATCTGCTGATCATTTGAATATTTGCAGCCCAGATCTGACAGTCATCATGAAGGTATCTTATTTCTTGTCATGCATGCAGATACAGATTTCCTTACCCAAAAACTTTGAAATTCTAGTTAAAATGTGCTGGCTTTGTTTATACATTGCAATAATTAAAAAATGTGGCTTGTTTGATTTTCAAAGTCAAATATTCATTATGGACTTTAATCTATGGCTCATATTGTACTGAACCAGTTAGCCAATTGCAGATTGGTAATGTTTAATAAGTAGATAATAAGCCAGAGTTAAGCAAACGATGCTTAACAGAGTCTTTAAATCCAGTCATCTCACAATATAATTTTGACTCATCCAATAGCCATAATTGCATGCTGCATTTGTTGAAAAATCTGGATTACATTAAAATGCAGCTAGGTAGTTTGTGATTCAGCATGTTGTGGGAATTTAGTCTTTTTTGGGGGGAAGTTGTATATATTGTGTTATTGGTGTGTTTATTTGAGCCCAGCATGAAAACAATGATTGTTTTATTCAACAGGGTTGTAGGTTTGGTATGCTGTGGAAAATCAGCTGATGTATGTGTGTATGTGTTTGTGTAGATCAGCGGAAGCCCCCAACTCCAAATGTACATCACCACCTGGGCCGATTTAAAATCTATCTGCAGGTTTTTAATAAACCTCTACATTTCCTTCTGCTGCTCTCTCTGCCTTGCAACTTAAACACATGCTATGTTTTAGGATGGCTACATTTTTTATTTTTTTTGTGGTTTCGTGTCCACAGTCCTAGTGCAAACTTGAAACCGACTGTATCTTGTCTCCAGCAAGATTTAATTTTCCATGCCGTCTTAGGTCTACCGAGAAGTAGCCCCAATTGAGTTCAATTATAGATTTACTTGGGGATAAATATGCACAACATTGTAGCCTGACACCATCTGTTTCCCGTCTCTGGATGGGCAGGAAGTACAGTTTCTAGATTTTGCCCTTGGAATTTCAGCTTGGCTTCACTCAATAGCCCCTTCATTTCACCAGTCTGAAAAAATACTCACACCAAGGAACAGCCTGTTCCCTGCTAATCTTCAAGCTTTCTCAATACTTGGAATAAAAAGTGGGACCTTGCAAAGACCTTTTAGAGCAGGCGTGTCCAACCTTTTGGCTTGCCTGGGTAGCACTGAGTGAAGAGGAATTGTCTTGGGCTCAGGGGTGAAATTCAGCAGGTTCTGACAGGTTCTGGAGAACTGGTAGCGGAAATTTTGAGTAGTTCAGAGAACCGGCAAATACCACCTCTGACTGGCCCCAGAGTGAGGTGGGAATGGAGATTTTGCAATATCCTTCCCCCAGGAGTGAGGAGGGAATGGGGATTTTGCAGTATCCTTCCCCTGCCACGCCCACCAAACCACACCCACAGAACCGGTAGCAAAAAAATTGAATTCCACCACTGCTTGGGCTGCATATAAAATATATATAATGCAGTTTAATGTATTTAAATTAATTAATTAATTAATTAATTATTTAATGTATTTAAATGCACATATTGTTAACAGTTTACGATCTTGTGGGACCGCATTATTAGCTGTGCAGGGCTGCAGGCGGCCTGGACATGCCTATTTTAGATGCTCCTCATTTGGCCCAAATTCGGGCCCTTCCTGTTAGAGCAACAATTGGTAGACAGGAACTCCTAGATTTGCGACTACAAAAATTTCCATTGCTAAGCAAGACGGTTGTTAAGTGTCTAGGAATTGAAGTCGACACATCTTAAAGTTACTAAATTGGAGAAACACTGCTCAAAATGGCTACAGTAGAATCAATAGGAAAGTATCTTTTGCTAGAAATGTTTAAGCCACAAATATCTGTGGAGATTCTCAGTCAACCAGGTCATTGTCATGCCAGATTACAACCGTTCTTGCCATAGTCGTTAAGCGAATCACTGCACTTCTTAAGTTAGTAACATGGTTGTTAAGTGAATGTGGCTTCCCCATTGACTTTGCTTGTTAAAAGGTCGCAAAAGATGATCACATTGATTTCCGTTGGCCATGTCAATGTTGGGGTGTGAATTCATTGGAGAAAGCAATGAGGCTGGGAATGGTTAGGGGAACAAAAGGGGCAAGCAAAGAACAGGCTGGCTTGATAACTCCAAATTTGATGGCAACGTTGAACATCCAACAATTGAAAGAATCTCTGCTTGAAAGGTTAACACGGAGAGTTGCTTGCTTACAGAACCGCCAAGAGTCGGGCACGACTAAACGGGTTAAAAACAATAACAAATCTACCTTGTTTCCCCGAAAATAAGACCCTGTCTTATATTTTTTTTGAACCCCGAAATAAGCACGTGGCCTTATTTTCGGGGAGGTCTTATTATTTTGGGGTGTGTGTAGCAAGATGGGGCTCCTCTTGCCGTCTTACCTGATTTCCAGCTCTGTGTTTAAATATTTTCGGGGAGGGCTTATTTTCGGGGGGGGGAGGTTTATTTTAGCGCATGCGCTCAAAAGCCCGATTGGGCTTTTTATCAGGGGATGTCTTATTTCCAGGGAAACAGGGGTATGAGATCCCAAAGGTGCTTTGTTTTTCAAGCGGCAACTGGACTTTCTGGTGTTTCTTTGAAGACGTTTTGCTTCTCATCCAAGAAGCTTCTTCCACTCTCCGAAATGTCCTCAGAGAAAAACCAGAAAGTCCAGTTGCCGCTTGAAAAAAAAAGCACCTTTGGGGCAACCATGACCTGGATGACTGAGAATCTCCACAGACCAGGGGTCTCCAACCTTGGCAACTTTAAGCCTGGAGGACTTCAACTCTCAGAATTCTCCAGCCTGCAAAGCTACCTACCAGTGGTGGGTTTCAAAATTTTTTACTATTGGTTCTGTGGGTGTGGCTTGGTGGGTGTGGCAGGGGAAGGATACTGTAAAATCTCCATTCCCTCCCCAATCCAGGGGAAAGTTACTGCAAAATCCCCATTTCCTCCCAATCAGCTGGGACTTGGGAGGCAGAGAATAGATGGGGGTGGGGCCAGTCAGAATTTTTACTACCGGTTCGCCAAACTACTCAAAATTTCCGCTACCAGTTCTCCAGAACTGGTCAGAACCTGCTACCCAGTGGTGGGATTCAGCCAGTTGACACCACTTCGGGAGAACTGGTTGTTAACTTTCTGAGCAGTTTGGTGAACTGGTTGTTGGAAGAAATCATTAGGGCAGAGAACTGGTTGTTAAATTATTTGAATCCCACCACTGCTGCTACCTACCCTCAAGTGCCCAAACTAGCCTTCGGCTCCCTGAGATTCTCATTTCTTTAAACCAGCGCTTTCCAACCTTGTCAACTTTAAGCCTGGAGGACTTCAACTCCCAGAATTCCCCAGCGAAATTCTGACTGGGCCCCACCCCCATCTATTCTCTCTGCCTCCCAAGTCCCAGTTGATCGGGAGGAAATGGGGATTTTGCAGTATCCTTCCCCTGCCATGCCCACCAAGCCACGCCCACAGGATCGGTAGTAAAAAAATTTCAAACCCACCAAGTGGTAGGTAGCTTTGCTGGCTGGGGAATTCTAAGGTTTTAATGTTTTTTAATCTTTTAAATGTTTTTAGAATGGTTTTTTTAAAAAATGTATTGTGAGCTGCCCTGAATCTCCGGAGAGGGGCGGCATATAAATCTAATTTATTATTATTATTATTATTATTATTATTATTATTATTATTATTATTAAATTAAAAAATATTATTATTATTTATTAACAATAATAATTTATTATTATTAAATTAATAAATTATTATTATTATTTATTATTATATTAATAATATTAATATTATTATTATTATTATTATTATTAATAATAATAATAATAATAATAATAATAATAATAATTTATTCTGGGAGTTGAGGTCCTCCAGGCTTATAGTTGCCAAGGTTGGAGAGCCCTGCCATAGACAACCGTGTGAGGCGAACCATTCCGAGCGAAGCCGGTGCCACCTGGCCCTGCCAACCAAGGGATCCTCCTCAGTAACCACCACCTTGTTCTGTCCGGGAAGGTCGGAGGAAAGATCGGAGGAAGCTAATCCGTCCCCGGCGCACGGTGCGCTCAAGGCCCCCAGCACTGGAGCTGATGACCCTGCCCGCCTTGGCTGGAAGCTGCTTCCTGCTGGCGCCGCCGCCGCCAAGCGCAAGGCCGGCTGCCTCCCGCCGCCTGGCACCGACTGACCGACCGACCGATCGACCGGCCGGCCGGCGGCTCTGAACTGCAGGTCGGACCGGGTTTTTTTTGTTTTTTTTCTCTTCTCTTCAACGCGACGGAGCCTCCCGCCAGCCTCTCTGTGGGCGAAGGAGGAGCGAAGGCGGGGCGGTCCCGGAGCGCGCAGAAGGGGGGAAGAAAAGAAAAGAAAAAAAGTTTTGCCCAGAGTTTATGCAGTGGCGAAGGAGCGGGCCGGGCATCTTGGAGGATGGACGCTCTCAAATCCGCCGGCAGAGCCATCATCCGCAGCCCCAGCATCGCCAAGCAGAGCTGGGCCAGCGGCCGCCACAAAAGTAAGCCTCCGCCGGCGGGAGCTAAGAACAGAGGAGCCTCCCCGGCTCAGCTCGGGGCCTTCCTTCCCCGGCTCGGGGGGGGGGGGCTCCGCATCGCCGGCTATGGGGATGAGGGGGAGGGAATCCCAAGCCTTTTTTTTTCTCTACAGGGGAAGCGGAGACGATGACGGGAGAAAGTGGGAGGGGGGCGGGTAAGAGGAGGAAGGGGTTTCCCCTCCCCCCGGGGATTCCCCCCCACCCACCCTTGGATGGATGGGCACGCGGGATGGGAATCCCAGCGAAAGCGGAGCCCTTGTTGCTGAGGAGGCGCCGCGCGCCCGGCGAGCGAGTAACTTTGTGTCAGCCAACTTTTTTCTTGCCAAGGAGCCGGCGGCCGCTTTTTCCCAGCCTCTTGACTGCCCGGTGTCCCGATCGGAAAAGCGCCCAGCCAGCCCGACGCGGGTAGCGGTTTTTTTTAAGCGCTTTCCGATTAAAAAGAGAGAGGGGGGGTGGTTTTCCAATGTTTCTCAACCTTTTTGCCGCTTTTAAGAGGCGCGGACTTCGACTCCCAGAATTCCTTCCGTGGGGTGGTGAGGGGGGGGAATTCTGGGAGTTGAAGTCCACCCATCTTCAAGTTTCCAAGGTTGAGAAACACTTGTCTTAGCTTAAGTCAGAGGTCTTCAGACTTGGTAGATTTGAAGACTTGTGGACTTCGACTCCCAGAATTCCTTCCGTGGGGTGGGGAGGGGGGAATTCTGGGAGTTGAAAGTCCGCGCGCCTTAAAAGTCGCTAAAGTGGTGGGAATATTGGTTTATTATCGTTCTCTTAACTCAGAGGTCTTCAAATTTGGCAACTTGAAGACTTGTGGACTTCAACTCCCAGAATTCTCCACAAGTCTTCAAGCTACCAAGTTTGAAGACCTCTGAGTTAACTTGTCCCCCCCCACCCCCGCCGCTCTTCCTCCTCATGCGTTTTGGACTACCGGTCCCAGAATTCCTAGCAAGGGATTGTCCCGGCGGGTTATGCTGGGACTCGTAGTCCGAACGTGATCTATGGAGGGGCAGCGGGTCTCCTTTTCACGGGTGTCGTTGCTGTGGGGCGCGCCGTTCTTTCGATCTTGAAAAGTCTTTAAAAGCTGAAAAGTCGTAAGCATGCAAAAAACAAAACAAAAAACGGAAGTGTCAAACAACACTTGCCTCCCCGGTACACCAGCCTCCCTCTCCATTTGCAACCGGCATAATTGCCTATTGCGTGAGCGAGGTTGCTGTAATTTCTGTTGTTTGCTGTGTTAAAATTTCTACTGTAGGAGTTTTAAAGCGGGGGGTTTATCCTTTTTTTTTTTTGCACTCTGATTGATAGGAGTGTATACAAATATTAAGTGTTTCTTGCCACGCTGATTTCTCTGATTGCGTTTTGTCTCTGTGGGTTGCACAGGAAATATAATAATAATAATAACTTTATTGTCATTGTATGCGTCTACACAGTATACCCATACAACGAAATTCACTTAACACCCAAAGACACATAATCCCCAAACACACTCCCACCCACCACAAATTCCCCACCCCTCAACCACCCAAACATCCACACAACAGACCAAGTAATGCTGTCCAACTGCTCACTATAGGTGGCCCTTTAGTTCATTGAAGACGTGGCTCTTCCGCCAATTAAACTGATCCGTTTGGGGGTACACTGGTATAATTTTAAATCATTTTTTAATTGGGTTACTGATTTTAATTTGGTATTGTATTGTGATTTGTATTGAAGTTGTCATTTTGTAAGCTGCCTTGAGTCCCTAGGGAGAAAGGCGGCATATAAATCGCAATAAATAAATAAAATAAATAAATAAATTGTTGAGTGCAATTATAGCTCTGGGATAAAAACTATTCAGAAAACGTGAGTTTTAATTGTTCGGTATCTTCTGCCAGAAGGCAACAGTCCAAAAAGATTGGAAGTAGGATGGGAAGAGTCTCTGAGAATGTTTTGCAACTTCCTCTAATAGCGAGATTTGAAGAATGTTGTCCAGGGCTGGTAGTTGGAGCCTGATGATATTCTGGGCAGTTTTAATGTAAAAAAGCTGTAGAGCTTTTTTGTCCGCTGCAGAGCTGCTCCCGTACCATGCAAGAATGCCGTATGTCAGGACACTCTCAATGGTGCTGCAATAGTAGGACAGAATATAAACGATGCTTTAAAGGTGAGCGATTCAAAGCCTTCTTTAGCCAGGGTGAGATTAAGCCACCATTAATCCCCTAACAGGCTAGGAATTCTACACAGTCCTTACCTGGAATCTTCCAGATTTACTCTATTTTTAACTTCCAGAACTTTGGGAATCTGGGCTCTTGACATCCAAAGCATAGGCTCCCAAATTCCCAGTTGAAAAATAAAAAAAAAATTCCATGAAAAGTGATCCACGTGAGTGAGCGTTTGATGTTATGAAATCAGACAGAACTTCATTATCTCACAGTACCTGTTATTCCTGGTTAGCAAATTGAGGTTAGCCGTTCATGGGATCCAGCTGACGGTTGGGTGGATGGAACAGCAACAGATATTTCTGTATTGGATTTAAATGCCACTCCAGTCAGAAGTGAATCTTAAATGGCTTACATGCTTCCAAACAGTGATAGGATTAAAAACAAAACGCAGCAGGAAATGTGCATTATCCAGACACCCAGGAACAACCATAACAGATAAATGTTCATTCTCCTTGTTGGATCAAATGTAACCTTGGAAGATCCACTGAAGCAATCGGGATCTGCCTTAATTGCTTTCCCAAAAATTAACAGTGATGGTCTAACCTGGGTCTGGGGAAGATACTGCTCTAGAGAAGGGGATATTTATGTTATTTCTTTGTCTGTGGGTTCTTATTATGGGCCTTGCCCTGACTTCCAATGATTGGGCTGATAAATAAAGACAATGAAATAAGCAGATGGGAATCCAGACAGCTGTGATCTTCATTCAACTGAATAGATCTAGTTTGAAAAGAACAGGCTCCGCTGATCAGAATGATGTAATTTGGACTCTTCTATTTATAAAACCATCCAGTGTTGTCCTTCTTTTGATGTATGACATATGACTATATGTCATAAGATGACTATATCATCTTAATATCTAACAAGAGGCGACTTCTTTGTGACTCTTGAGGATGCAAAGAACGATGGACCATTACTCCAAAAATGTCCTGCAAATCTGAAGGGGTTATGAGCTAATGATGCAATTTATGTCTTTTGTGTTGTGAAAATGGATGGAAATAACATGAATTGTCCAGATTTCTTTTGGGGGGGGGGGAGAGAATATGAATGTTGTTGATTAAAAGACAAAAAGAAGTATGAAATATTTGTCTAACACAGGGCTCTCCAAACTTGACAAATTTAAGGCTTGTAGACTTCAACTCCCAGAATTCCTCAGCCAGGAATTCTGGGAGTTAAAAGTTCGCAAGTTTTAAAATTGCCAAGTTTGGAGACCCCTGGTCTATAGCAGTGTTTCTCAACCTTGGCAACTTGAAGATGAATGGACTTCAACTCCCAGAATTCCCCACAGCATAATTCCATAGCTGGTTGGGGAATTCTGGGAGTTGAAGTCCATTCATCTTCAAGTTGCCAAGGTTGAGAAACATTGGTCTATAGTATTCAGAGTCCTCTAATGGTTTGCTAACTGTTAGCGTATTTTTTTTTAAGTTCATTTCTTTTAGTCATGGGATGCATTTATCACCTAAATATTAGGACACAAATTTCAAACAATAACATGTAAGTAAGATAATGTAGTGGACATTAATAAAACCATTTTGGCACCAGTGAGTCCATCCTGATTACATTGTAAAATCCTTCTGAAAAAGCAAGCATTTTTGAAAGCCATGACAGTGGGAACCACTGTGCCTGGGGAGAGGGGGCAGACTATTTGAAAGGACAGATGCCCCCATAGAGAGCATTGGACATCAAGTTTCCTCCCATCACATCCCTCAGGTCAGTGGTGAAATCCAAATTTGTTTACTGCCGGTTCTGTGGGCATGGCTTGGTGGGCATGGTGTGGCTTGGTGGGCGTGACACGGGAAGGATACTGCAAAATCTCCATTCCCACTCTACTCTGGGGCCAGCCAGATGTGGTATTTGCTGGTTCTCCAAACTATTCAAAATTTCTGCTACCGGTTCTCCGAACTACTCAAAATTTCCACTACCGGTTCTCCGAACTACTCAAAATTTCCGCTACTGTTTCTCCAGAATCTGTCAGAACCTGCTGGATTTCACCCCTGCCTCAGGTGTTGTTGTGGTCCGCCAGCAGCCTGCGGAGCTGACAGCGGAGTCGGACAGCAATGAGGCTGAGGAAGAATGGGCCAGTCCTGGAGGCTGGGGAAGGCCCGGATGAGGGCTCTGCATCGGAGGCAGAGATGGGGCCAGGGCCATCGGGGAGTGATGTGCAGACTTCGGAGCCTCCAGAGGCTGATAGTAGAGAGGCAGAGGAACAGGAGGAGCCTGTTCCTAGTGCACGTATGAGAAGAGCTGCCAGAAGGCAGGAGCAGATAAAGCAGAGAGGATGACTTGGGAATAGGCCCAAGAGATGATTGGCCCCTCCCATAAGGCTTAAAAGACCAGCAATGGCTCTTGGCCTCTTTGTCGGAAAACAACCGTTGAGAGAATTGCTTCTTGTTTGGATGTATTCATTTCTTGTCGGCGTCTTCTGCTTCTGAACTTTTGTCTAGAGAAGTCTTTGGCAGTTTGCCTAATTATACCAAGGTCGGTGATAAACTGAGGAATGGTGTTTTGAAGAGTTTGCTTTAATTTAATTTGGACTACGCTGAGAATGAGTTAATTCTCAGCTGTTCTAATAAAGTCTGTTTGTTTTCAAACTGTTTGCATTTAATACTAACTACTTGGGCCTGGGTCACAACAGGTGTTCCCTTTGCATACCAGATGATGATTCAAGGCTTTGTCTCTTTCTTAGTCTCAGCTTTTTCACATCTCATATCCTCCCCCTCCCAGCAGCCAGATACATTGATTCAGACGGATAACAACCACCTTTGGAAAAGT